AAAGCCTAAGCAGTTCCCCCCGCCCCTCTATTTCCATTGTTGAGTTTCCCTGAAGGGCCCAGGCAGCTGTCTGCACCCCGGTGATAATTCATGCACAGCACTTTCATCTCCAGAGCCCTTGCAGCTCACATCTAATGAATCCCAGCACTGGGATCCTTCAGAAAAAAAGAAAAAAAAAAAAAAGGACAGATCTGGAAACTGAGCAGTGACACAGCTCTCCCCGGGGGGGGCCCGCTATTAATGACACCATTAGTGTTAGGGATGTACAGCCTCTCGGACCCTACGGCACCGACTGGGATTTCTCAGCTGAGATGCTGTATAAATATAGGCAGGAGAACGAGTTTCTGGTCAGTCTGGGAGAGCCTGGTCCGGGGCCAGCTGCCTGGGTTGGGGACAGGGAGTGGGACACACCGAGCCTGAGCAAAGTCCTGCCCTGGTGCCGGGTGATGGGAGCTCGCCGAGGGCTTCGGCCAGGCTCCGCGAAGAGCTCCAGCCATGAGCTGCACAAACAGCCGCCCTAAACCATCGCATGCTAAGCACAAATCGGTGCCTTGAGCCAACAGCCAGTTAAGTGCTATAAATAAAGCTGTTATCACCCGTGCCTCACTCGCTGAGCAAGCCGGGCCACAGCACTTCCTCCCCAGCAGCGTTTAAGGGTGATTTCTAGCCTGGAGAAGGCCAGGACTTTGTCAGCATCCACAGTTCAATGGCCTTTCCCATCCTGCCATTGATTTTGCACTTGGCCAACACACCTACTGGATGCCTGCCCTGGGCACAGGTGGGGGACAGAGCTGGCAGACACAGCCACCGTCCCGGACAGGGAGACCTGTGTGATCTCTGTGGCCTCTTCCCAGCTTGCCTGGGTCTCAAGAGGACTAAGAGCCTCCATCCTCCTCCTCCTGCTGCTCTGATCCCTGTTTCAGCTCCCTGATCCCAGCCACCACCCCACTGCTCCTGACCTGGCCCCCCCCAACCCCTGCAGAAAGCTGCCCGTGCTGCCCTGACTGAGAAGCTGCAAAAGGACAGAAAGGGATGGCTCTGTCCCCAGGTGGTGGCCAAGGTGGCACAGGTTGCTCCTGGTCAGGCTGACGGGAGGGGAACAGAGAAGAAATCTGGGTGAGGAGGGGGGAGGCAGGAAGAGGGCTGGGGATGGGGATGGGAGAGGAGCTCATTTCCCACTGGGGGATGAAGACCTGCAGGAGGAAGCTGAAGCAGAAGAGGATGGAGGCAGCTCACGGACAGGCATAGCAGTACACTGAGTCCCTGCAAGGATGCCACACGCTGTCCCAGCTTCTCCTAAATCAACCCAAGGGAAGGAACATGCTCCTGTCACGCTTCCCCGGAGACAGAGAGGCAGAGGGGGGAGAAGGCTGCTGCTCCCTGGGGCTTGAAGACTTTCCTGTCCCTGTTTTGGTGCCGGTTAATGATGCATGGCCAGGGCTGGGAGGAGAGGGTGGAGGGGGAGGGCAGGATGGAGGAGGAGGGGGGGCCCATATGGAGATGCTTCTCCCAGAGAGCGGCAAGATGCTGAGCTGGCGTGAGATCGGGAGCTCACCGAGAGGTTGGCTGTTAGAGCCAAGCAATCAATATGTGAAAATCCAGCCCAGGCGAGGAAGGTGACCTTGAGCGGCAGAGAGACGGAGGGAGGAGAGCTGCATGAATTACACACAGAGATGCTCTCTGGGTGAGGGAGGAGGGATGGAGGGGAATGAGAGGGACAGGCAGGATGCAAGTCCTCTGCCCGGCTGCTGCAGAGCCTGTGTGCCCGGGGAAAGGGCAGCCACGGATCCAGCCGGAGAGGGCAAGGGCAGGGAGGTCAGTGCCCGGAGTGAGTCTGCTCCTCCCTGTCCATCCCTGAGCACCCTGTACCCCGGGGACACAGCACCCTGCACATCCCTAAAGTAAAACAGTGCGGGAGCAGCTGCCCGCCTCACCCATCCCCTCCGACCGGGACTGCTCCCCCATCCTCCCCCTGCCCCACATCACTGAACTGTCTCCAGCAATGGGGCTGCCACCATTTCCCATCAGAGACTACCTTGAAGCCCTGCAGCTCCTGCTGTTACTCAGCAAACGCTCCCGAGATGAGAGCGATGCTTTGCCTTTGCACGGCTCCAGCTCACGGTTCCCAACATGGGCCCAGCACTAATCCCTCTCTCCATCTCCTCTACCCCCTCCCCTGCTGCTGCCCAGCCCTGCGGTGGGTCTGCTCCTCTCCCACCTCCTGGCCCCCTTAGCGGGGCTGGGGCAGTGCCCGTGGCCGGCTGGCAGGAGCAGCACAGGTAGCTCAGCAGAGCAGCACAGCCCTTTATGTACACAGATGCATAGGACGGGCTGTGCAATCCTATAAAGCCTCTGCCACAAAAATGGCTTAAAATGCAGGCAGGTCCCTGAGGGCAGGCGGTGACCCTGCCCCTCGGAAGCTGCGTCAGCCGAGGTATCGGCTGGGTCGAGCTGCAGACATCAGGGGATGGAGAGGAGCCAGGAGTCCCAGCTGCCCAGCCACAGCCTAAGGGACACAGGGCAGTGGCAGCAAGGGTGACCCAGGAGGTGGCCAGGTCTCAGATGTGCTACCAAGCCAGGCTGAACCAGGGCAGGGCTGTCCCGCTGGCAGGGGGGCTCAGGAGAGCCCCTCTAACGCCCACCACCATCTCCAGCCCCGGGGAAGGCTCTGTGCCTCCATGCTGCTCCAGGGCAGGATCCATCCTGGCTCTGCAGGGTGCTCGGGGGGAGCCGGGGGGCAGCCATCCCCCTGGAGGGGATGGGGCTCTTCAGCAGGGTGGGAAAGGGCCATGGGGCCAGCGGCAGAAGGGGGTTGCAGTTCCCTGCCCCGTGCTGCAAAGATGGGTGCCGGTTTCTTTCCCCCACCGCGGCAGCAGCAAGGACGCAAGAGCCCAGTTAATAACAGCACCCACAGAACAGCGGGGCTGAGCCCCCAGCAGCCCCCTCCCAAAGTCAGCCCCAGCCCGGTGCCCTCCAGGGCTTTGGGGATGGGGAAGAGCTGCTGCCCCAGCCCGCTCCCTGCTCCCCAGGGGTCTGAGGGGACCTGAGAGCCACACAAGACAAGACAGCACCTCTGAATCTCAACTCTCCCCCAGCAAAGTCCCCCCCCAGGCCCCTCCATCGCTCTTAGAATCAAAGTTCGGTTTCTGCAAAGCCAGCAGCCCCATCTCCCCCAGAGACATCCCTCCACCTACCTCGCTCTCCTCCCCCATGAAGCAAACCCTTCTCCCCTCTGCAGCTCCTTTTAATCCTTCCTCTGCCAACACGCAGCACCTGGGCTATGCCCCGGCTGGATGGGCATGCCTGCCAGGCGATAGAAGCACCCCAGAAGGGAGGGAAACTGCAGAGTGAGTTTGCAGTCTGAAGTTAGGGTCAGGCATTTCCAACCACGCTGCCTTGCCATCTAGTGGGATGAACGCGGAGGAGCCGGGCTCGCTGTTGGGAAAAGTTGGCCAACTCTATCCCGCTGGAGTCGAGCCTGGCTTTTGCAGCCATACTTCATCCCACGGGAGCAGATGAGATCACCGGGGGTGAAGGATGGTGCGAGGGTGTCAGAAGGATGGATGGGGAGGGAGGAGAGAGATGGGGATAGACAGACAGGGGATAGATAGATACAGCTGTTTCAAGGATGACATGACAACAGCGGTAATAAATCCTGGTGTTTTAGATCCTGCCTGAAAGGAAAGGCTTGAATAGCTCTGAATTCCCATTTATCAAGAGCTCTGGCTTTTGGATCAACATAATCCATGTCTGAGTTAGGTTTTGCACGGAGAGGAAAGGCAAGGGGAGAGGCACGTGGTGCACACATATACATAGACACACACGCTTGTGCCCGCGCTGTGCCGGCGAGGCAGGCTGACAGGCACGAGTGCCCAGCGGCGTTTGCAGCGTGCCCGGAGATGAGAAGCTGGATCTTCTTGTGAGGTTTTCTCCAGTCGCCTTCGTTTGCCTCCCCGGGCCTGGAGGATGTGGGCTGAGCTCAGTGGTTTCAGTTCAGGATTTTGGATTCTCCAGGGATGTGTCATCCCTCTCACGGTATGCGTGTTTGTTACATGTGTATAAAAATATAGAGGATGAATATATTATATTTAAAATACCTCACCACTGGGCAGCTCTTTTTGGGTGTTGAAAGCTGGGATATTACAAGATATTTTAACTCCCTCCCAGTCACTTTCCTGCTGGACCTGGGGCCGTTTGGCTCGCAGGCTCCGGTGCTGCTCCAGGCTTTCTCTGCAGCTGAAGCAGACCCAAACCCAGGGACACCCTCCCTCCGGGCAGAGCTCAGGCTGGGGATCTGGAGGGTGCCAGGAGATCTCCCAGTCCCAGGGGGGGTCAGAGTCCCTGCAGAGCAGGGGCCGCAGGACTGGAGCGGGTCTGGGGTGATGGAGGACTCCAGTTGCCCCGTGGCGAGGTTTCCTATTGCATCCTCTTTCGGAGCACACGGGGACAGCCCACCTCCACACCTGGGTGTACAAGACTCCTCCGGAGCCACACAGACCCACCTGGGGGACCTGGGGACGGCTGGGGGCACAGCCTGACCACGCAGGTCAAACCTGAGGTGCCCAAAGCATCGCCTCTCTGGAGCAATGCGACTCCCGCTCCCTGTCCAGGAATCCCTGAAAGCAGACACGGAGGGGTCTTCCCAAGGTCCTGGAGGGAATTGAGGGAGATGTGGGATGCAGGGAAGTCTCTGTCCTTGTAAACCAGCACGGTTCACAAAGGAGCTGCTGGGCTGGGTGTGAGCAAGGGCTTTCCGCTGCTCTCACTGTTGAGAACAAGACACTGAATGCATTTTTAAACTCTTCATTTTATTAGAGCTGCCCATCCCCTGCTTTGTTTGCCCCAGAACTGAGTTCACCCCCTACATGGAGGCTCAGCTCACACCGGCTGCCTTAACCCCACCTTTTCCATGGGGCAGCAGGGGCCGAGGGGGTCTGGGATGGGGGCACGGTGGGTCCGGGAATACTCGCCCTTGTTTCCCAGCGTTGGGGCCGTGGGGCTCAGAAGAAGCGGCCCGTGGGCAGGCGGGGCAGGCAGAAATAGGCGTTGGGGAAGAGGCTGAGGTTGATGGGGTTGCCGTCGAGGCGGATGTCCTCCAGCGCCCTGCGGATCTGGCTGTGGTCTTGGCTGTCACAGAACGTGTCCTCATGCATGGTCTGGATGTTGTTGTTCTGGCCAGGGAGGCAAAGGGCAAAATCAGATTCAAAGGGATGGGGAGGAGGAGGAAGAGGAGGAGGAGGAGGTGGTTGTGGACTCTGCGAGACTCAGGTACAGACAAGCCTGGCTCCAGGCTCATCTCACCTGGAGGTGCAGGGAGCGCAGGCTCTCGGGCAAGGGCACTGGGATGTAGTCCAGCTGGTTATCGGACAGATGGAGAAACTGCAGCTGCTTCAGGTCCTGCGGGAAGAGGGGAGAGATGAACCTCGCTGCTCCCAGCCCTGTTACCCCTTGGCGTGGCAGGTTGGGACTAAAACCAGCCTGGTTTCATCCACCAGGCCAGAAGCCCCAGCACACACCCGGAAAGCTTCAGGACGGAGACCGGTGCTGGGGATCCTGTTGAGACGGGCATCGAGCCGGACGATGCTGCGGGGCAGCTCGGGCAGCACCGTCAGCCTGTTCTCAGGCAGGATGAGCTCCTGCAGGCTGGGGAGCAGGCGGAAGGCGTCCACGTCCGCCCAGGAGATGAAATTGCTGGTCAGGTCTATTCGCTTCAGCTTCTCTGGTGGGAGAGGAGGGAGGAGATGAACAGGGACCCACGCAGAACTGCTTATTCCCCCCCCACCCCGTGCCCCATTGCAGAACCTGGCCCTTCCCTTGCCTCGACATACTCAGCCCCGTGAAATCGCTGGCCCGGATCGCGCCGATGCGGTTGAAGCGGGCGTAGAGGTAGGTGGTCTCCGGCGGCAGCGGTGGGATGTGCTCCAGGTCGGCATCGTCGCAGTAGACGGAGGTGCCGATGCAGAGGCAGAGCAAGCCGCTGGGAGAGGCAGGGTTTTTTGGCAGTGCACGGCTCCCCCGAACCCCCCCAAAGTACCCCAGCATGCAGGGAGATGTGAGGACGTGCCCACCCCTGCCCATCCTCTGGGTACACAAAGTCTTTAGCAGCCGGAGCTGTCACAGCCCCGGCACCTTCATCAACAAAACAACCCAGGGCACCTCATCAAGGGACGGGCCAGGAACTCCCAGCCAAAAGAGCTGCTAAGAAACGAAGCTGCTCAGGGCCAAATACCTCCCACGGGAGAGGGGGAGATGTAAGGCTGCCAAACACAGCAGTGTTACACCCGGGGCTCATTTGGCCCCCTTAGTTTTTCCACAGAAGGAAACGTAACAGAAGAAAAGAGTTTTGCATCGAGCAGAACGTCTGCCTTGGCTGCACGAGGGTCCCGGCAAACCCGGCAGGGGTGAAGCCATGTCCCGTCCCCCCCCCACGGGCTCCCTCTCCTCTCCCCCAGCGCCCGCGAGACTCAGCATCCATTAGTGGGGGAGTTCAAAGCAGCAAGGCAACAATTTCCTTTTTCCTCCTACTTAATTTGTCCCAGTCCAGAGTGACAGAAAATGAATAAAGATATTTATCCCTCGCTACAGGATTTTAATTGTCACTAATCTAATTGCTACTCTGTCCCACTGTCGGAATGCCTCTGCTCATTAAAATGTTGCTGCTTTGCTGGAGCTCTTGTTTCCCAGAAACGTCTCGCCGCAGCCCTCCTGCCTGCTGTGTGATAAGATGCACCCCCAACACCCCGTCTCCTCGCTGCCCCGGCAGAGCAAATAACCTCTGCTGTCTGCTGGTTGCAAAAGGATTTGTTCCTTTTTCTCCAGAGCACCAGCCCTGCCACCCCTGGGACATGGGGCTGCATCCCATGGGATCCAAACCCCGCTGGCTGCAACTTTGTGCAGCACCCGGGGATCCGCACTCACCCTGCACGGAGATGGGTGCTGGGCGGACGGGGCCGGCAATGGTCGGAGGCTGCAGCTTCGGGGTTTCAGTCGTGGCACCCACATTTGGGAGAGCCGTGGGGTCCTTGGGGCGAGGAGCCAGAGTGCCAACCTCGATCTGCAAACACAGCCTGGGCGTGAGGGCTGGGGTGGCCGAGCGAGTCCTCCCACTCCCCTCCGAGGCGTGTGGCACCGGTCAAGGGCACTGGGTAGGTCTTGCCGAAAAGCCAGCTCCTCCTTGGAGAGCTCTCCTAGCTCAGGGGCTCAGAACCCCCCTTCCCTCTTTGCCCAGAGGGATACAGGAAGCCTCCAGCGATGCTCTGGCCAGGCGCTGGCAGGGGACAAGGAAGCCGGCGGAGCTCACGGTTGGGAAAAGCCTTTGCCAGCACCAGCAAGAGTGGTGGAAGAGCCACCAGGGCTTGTGGGCTTGTGCAAGAGGCTGGTTCTCCAGCTGTGCCCCATCCATCCCTCGGACAAAGCCTCTTTCTCGGGATGCACCGAGGGAAGATCTGCCCCACGCGATGGGTACTCTCCTGCATCCCCCTCACCTTCGGAGCAAGGTCACCGTAGTCGTAGAGCTCCTCATAGTTGCTCAGGTCCAGGATGTCACCGTAGTTGTCCAATGTCAGGTCGTAGTTGTCCAGGTCCAGGTTTTCATAGAGAGCAAGATCAGCTTTTGGCTTCTCTGCCTTCCTCCTCTCCTTCTTGGCTGGGACAGCCCAAGGTGTCCCCAGACAGAGGCTGGCAATGCCCAGCCAGGCCAGGATCCGCATCCTGCACCCAGCCAGGGTCACCACTCCAAGGACAGCACCGGGGACCACGGTCTCAGGGGGCACAGGGCTCCAACAGGGCCAGAAATGCAGGTCAGGATGGGGCCAGGTGCCCTGGAACGGTTGCAAAGCGGTGAAAGCAAAGAGGGACGGGACGGCAGAACCGGCACGCTGGCTGCAGCCAGCCCCGCTCTGCAGCCGTGGTGGGGACTGCGGCCACCACGGGGGACAAATGGCCTCCACCCCCAGCCCCAGGACCATTACACCGTCCCTTTTCTTCTCAGCCCATTTCACGCTCGGCTGGGCGGCTGCGCAGGAGAGGCCCCGCGGCCGTGCCAGGCTGCCCTCGCTTCCCGGTTTTCCCAGCCCCAAGAAGGCGGTGAGGGGGTCAGGAGGTGACAAGGGGATCGGGGTCCTGCTCTGACCCCTCGAGGCGATGGGTGAAGGTGGTCGTGGTCCCAATACACCCAGCAGCCAAGCAGAAACGACCCCAGGAGTCCTGGCACTCTGCTGCTCTCCCCTCCGCTCCTACCCCCAGGTCTAAAGCCCAGGATGCCATTTCTCAACCTCCAGCATCCTGGGCAAGGCAGTGCCCGGGGGGACCAGAGCCCACAGGGTCCCTGG